AAGGTGCTCCATATATATCATAGCTATTGATGATGGTTCTTCCCCAAAAGTATTTATTCAGTATTAGTTTCTCTGTATGTATAATGATAATTGTCATTAATAAAAGTCAAACTCATTAAGCCAAAAAAAGAACACCTGATGTAGGTCATTTTCCTACCCCCACCCAAAAGTTATGATGTCAAGGATGCACCACTTCCCGAGGCCCAGCCAACTTTCCACGTTTTCCATGAAGTGTAAAATGCCACACACAGCATGAGATGATTACCATGGCTCCAACCTGGGAAATAGTTGTGTTTCTTAACCAAGTGCCATATAGGTCCTTTACTCTGGGCAGTAGTGGGCCAAACACTCAGGTGGGGTTTCCTAACTTTACAAATCTGGCTACTCGCCATTCCCTGGGATGCCTGAGAGTTCCCCATCCCTGGGGTAGCCCTACAAATGTGCCTTGCAGAAATCCCTTCCCTCTCTTGGAGAAAAAAGCACAGTGCATTCTGGAATAAGAATTAATATACTTTCCAAAGAGAGGACTCATAAAATAAATGGAAGATCAGGCCTACTACCTGGGAAAGGTGGATGACAGTAATGAGCTCTGTCTGGGGAGGAATGTTTTGAGTTTGAGTGTGGACCAGATACCTCATGTATATGTGGAACTTCCTTAGTGTCAAAATATGAAAACATCTAAGTTACAGGAAGCTGAATCATAACGGCTGTATTCTGGAACAGCAAGCAGCTGTTATTAACCGTTATGTGGGTCTCAGATTCCTTTGAGATACTTAACCTAGGGGGGAAATATATATAGATGCAAAATTTTGCAAATAATCTTAAGAAACTCATAGGTCACCCCTCCTTTATATGAAGAACTCTGCTTTCTGTGATGGCCCAGGAGAAAGTTCGAGAATGCTTTAGTCTAACTTGTGTTAAAGATTTTATTTTCCCTTCTGGAGCAAAATGCAAGCTCTATTATCACCTTGTTCTGCAACAAAGACTGCAATGAGAGCCTACTCAGCAGTCTCCGCAGATAATTTTTAGTTCAGACCCTTCGTGAAATGATTCTAAATGTAAAGCAACTTTCAAATGCTGCAGTTAGTCATTTGCCTTTTCATGATCCTAATGTCTTTTGGTTGTGAAAATAAAACAGTCATGTTAACACAAACCTCTACACTGAAAAATGGATAGAGATAGATACAGGTGCTTGGGGGGAAAGCAGGATCTGGTAACGGACTATAAAGCATGCTCTGGAAAATGAGACATTTTTATTTAGTGTCTCTCTTATTCGACAGGTAAAACCTCTGCAGTTTGAGAGAATTTTGATAGAAAAAGGTGTGCTGTTTTATTTAAAAGTGGAAATGAAGATACATCTGGTGTCTACAGAAGCAGCATTCCTCTGGTTCACTGCTCACTAGTTTCCAGGCCTAGTAGGTACAATGAGCTGTGTGAAATGTTCCGAGGGCTTACTATGCCCCAGGCCGTGTGCTGGGACCTGTGCACTTGTGGCTTCTAAACCCCACTCTCCTCAGTTGTATAGTGGTTATGATCGTCTATTCCCTCAGTTTTGAGGAGTGGAGAAACCAAAAAACAACTCTAACCCTTGGCTTCATTCTTCATTCAGTTGGTTTTAAGTTGTCTATCATCCGTCCACTTTTTCATTCAGAAAAATTGTGTGGTTTATCTGCATTCTATGTACCTCCATATGCACTACTATTTGCCTTCCTGTATTTCAGGAACTAGAAATAGGGCTAGGAGTTTGGGACCAAGTACTGTCCAGAGACTAAGCATTCTTTGTATTTTTCAAAACTAGATAGTCTAAAGTTAAACAGTGTCCTGACTTTGCCAGATCCTCGCCGTGGCCTGGAAGTGCCTGTGTGGCCTGGCCCCGCCACTCCCTGACACTGTTCCCCGTCTCAGGGTGCTCCAGGCACACGGGCTGCTTCCTGAATTCCCCCCAACGAGGCACACTTCTTCCCGTCATAGGACCTTGGTTTCTGTTCCCTACTCTTTGCTTGGACAGTTTCTTCTCATCATTTACTTCACCTGTTCAAATGTCACCTAGCAGNTCTTGGTTTCTGTTCTCTGACTCTTTGCTTGGACAGTTTCTTCTCATCATTTACTTCACCTGTTCAAATGTCACCTAGCAGAGACACACTGGGCTCACCATATATGTAAAATAGCTCCTTCTATTCACTAACGTATCTCCTTATCATGTCTCCTTCATAGAATTTATGACTATCTGAAATTACGTTTTTTTCCCATATTATTTCCTGACTTCTCCCTCTAAAATGCAGACCGCATGAGAGCANGTGGGCTCCTCATATATGTAAAATAGCTCCTTCTATTCACTAACGTATCTCCTTATGTCTCCTTCATAGAATTTATGACTATCTGAAATTATGTTTTTTTTCCATATTATTTCCTGACTTCTCCCTCTAAAATGCAGACCGCATGAGAGCAAAGACCTTGCTGGGGATCCAGTGATAAAAATGTGAATTGGGTGTGAAGAATCAGTGATGGCATGTTGAATGAATGAATGAATGGGCTTTGGGTCTCACACCGAGATTACATGAGGAAAACCAGGGGTTCTGACTTGTGATTTCAAATAGTTTAGGGATTTGTTTATAACACTAGTATTTACTTAGTAAGAATTAGAAAAATGTTGAGCACATAGCTAATTAGTTCAAGTGCTTAACTAACTTAATTCCTACAACCTTATGAGATAGGCATTATTATTACTTCCGTTTTATAGATGCAGAAATTTGGTATAGGGAGATTAAGGAACTTGCATAAGGCTACATAGAAGTAGGTCTTTGAACCAGCGCTCCTTAGTACTTAATAGAAAGTGCTCGATAAATACACCTTTAACATGTGCCCAGCACTCAGCTGAGTGCTTCATCCACACGGTGTCATTCAGTCCTCACTTCTGCACTGAGGTAGGTCCTGTCCCTATGCCTGTTCTACAGATGGGGAAGCTGAGGCTGGGAGAGCTTAAGCAACTTGTCCAAGGTCGCATAGTTGCTTAGTGATACAAAAGGGACTTGAATATAGACAATATGAAATCTGTGATCTCAGGCATTATCTCCATATTATAAGAACACTCTGGATTGCTCTTGGAACACATTCATTTTGAAGTTTGTGAAGGAAGGATTAGCTTTCTCCCCCAGACTCAAAGGGTCTTCACTGGTATAAAGAAAGGGTATCTATTACTTGGCCACAGATTCATAATGAATCCAGAACAGTCCAACTCAGAGAAATGAATAGGAGAAGCAGAATTTGTATCAGTACAACCACTTGTCTGTAAGGTATAAAATAGTTGGCTAAATGTCTCTCTCTTTGGAAAGAGCATGAGAATGGGATTTAGAAATCTAATAACTGTGAAAGATCAGTTTTAGTGTCTGAAATGAACCAGGGTAGAATTATGTACATATTTATATGTCACTAGTTCCGATTCTGTACTGAGCTGAAATGCAGCATATAAAGTTTAACACTACTGTTTTGTGAAACTTATTAAAGTGTTTTTTGTTTGTTTTTACCCTGAGTACTTCCTTAGGGACTTGGAATGAGATGCTGATGTGGCATCTCATCCAGTTTGTCTAACAATCAGTTCCATGTCCATGAGCAGGAATTTTTAGCCACACATGCAAAACCAGTATACTCACAACACAAGGGGGAAGTCGGGCTCTAGAACCCACGCATTGTCATGCTGGCTTCAAACAAAATACCCATGTGAAGGGTTATGCCCGTATATGTGGAGATCAAACTTTTTTCTTTGAAAAACTCCCTATACCCACTGAAGCCAGTTGATTCAGCAGGAAAAAGATGAGTTCAGCCAATATTATTGAACTCTAAGATGCCAGCATTTTCACAGAACTAGTATTACAGGTGTTCTTACAAACACAATTCTATGTAATCCTACCTGAGCCTGTGTCTGGTGCTCACAATTCCCCAAGCGTGTGGGCAGGGCGGATGTTATTAAGCCACTTTACAGATGAGGAAATTGAGGTTAATAGCATTTAAAGAGCTTGCCCAAGGCCAGGCAGCTAATAAATAGCAGAGCCAGTACCAAACTCTTTGGACTCTAAGTTACATACTTTTTCTGCGGCCCGCACCTCCCCCTTGTCAAAGAGAACCTGTCAGTGGCGCTATTCTATATGCTGAGCATTAATCCTGAAGATTGTCATTCTGTTGGTCTGCGTCTAGAGGGTAGAACCTAGATCTTAAGAAATAATATATTTTACTCAGGGCTTTGAGCATGCCCGTTGTTTTGTTGAGTTTCAGCCCTGCCTACTCTAATTCTATGAAAGCAGCAGTATTTATGGGCGAGGACTAACATGATAGGATTTTCAGCAAGTCACACAACTTTTGTTGTTTCCTCTAGAACCTTGGGCTTCTCTTTGCACCCAGTGTGACAGGAGCCAGTGGGGGTGGCATTTCACAGTGACTCTTCTTTCTCTTCTCAGTGCCTGTGTGCTCTGGGACCCAGCAGACACTTTATTTCTCAAACGTATTGTCCTTTTACCTACTGTCCTTCCTACTGCTCCAGCTTTTATTGTTTCCTCCAGGTTTTGAAAGTTGCAAAATTTATGGAACGTGTTTCCTTACGGAAGGGAATGGACAGATAGGTGGCTCAGCAACTTCAGCTGAATAAGCCTCTGACCTGTGGTTGTTAAGAGATGAGGTGATTCAGCAGAAAGTGAAGTGGGCCCGCCCGAGGCAGTGATGGACCGGGTGCAGCCAGGCCAGAGCTGGCTGCTTGTTCTGGAATCTGAAAGGATGCTGGGTGTCCTGCTAAAGCTCAGCTGTCTAGTGCAAAGGCCTGACCAGTAGAAGGCAGTCATTGCTTAACTTTCATCCCATCAGAAAGAATGCAGTTCACACACAGGTGCTGGCCCTACAGAATGAGTAGATGGTTGAATATATTTGAATAACAAGCTTTCCAAAGAGAAGCAAAAGGTACTCTTGACGTGTAAAATGAATATAAACTCAACTGGTCTCTCTTTTCATTGTAGATATATGAGCTTTGGACTTTCCCGTACCCAGGGTCAGAATGCTGCCCCTCTGTCCTGCTCTAGCTGTAGCAGTCTTCCAGATCTTTATCTTCTCAGAAAACCGGGCGTTTGCCAAGAACATCAACTTCTATAACGTGAGGCCTCCTCTCGACCGTAAGTAGTGGTTACCATCGTAGTTCATGACTGTGGGGTCAAAGTCATCATTTGAAGTCCCTGTTTCCACTGATAGTGACTTTGCCTTTTCTAGAACATTTGGTTTACACCTAGAATAAGACAGGAAGTCTTCACTACTTCTGAAATTCTCTCCCATTTCTGTAAAATGCTTTGGTTTCCTGCTGAAGTGTCAAAAGGGTTCTTGTTTAAAATAATCTTTTGAGCACTGTCTCTAAGAATGGCTTAGCCGAGGAAGTTCAGTGCTCTTTGTTTCTCTCTTCACTGGAGAAGGACATTGGCTGTAGGAAGTTTCTGTATCAATGATATATTCTTTCAATGGCTATTAAACATTTTTAAAAATTCTCACTGAGGATATGTTATTTTATTTTACTGATTTTTAGAGAGAGAGAGAAACATCGTTGTGAAAGAAAAACATCGATCGATTGCCTCCTGTACATGCCCCTACTGGGGATCAAACTCACAAGCTTTTGGTGTACGAGTCAAGGCTCCAACCAACTGTGTCACCCGGCCAGGGTTCAATGGCCATTAAAAATCTTGAAAACAGATTAGTATTCATGAAATTTGGAAGGAAATACACTTGGATTTTCATTAATATTATGCACAGTTAGGAAAGGCTGTAAAAACTCGTTTCCCACTAATTTAAAAATAAACAAATAGTGTATATTATCTATAGGATAATATATATTTACATATTTTATATACATATATGTATGTGTATATGTGCTTGTATACATATATCATTTCCCTGCCTTTCTCCCTCTTCAGACAAGTAAGACTTCTCTGATATACTTTATTAGAGAGAGGTTGTTACAGACAGAAATTGTTTGGCAGACATGTAAATGCCTGTGGTTCCCACACCTAGAAGAGTATCAGAGTCATGATAAACGCCTTTAAAACTGCACATTCCCAGGTCCCTTCTCCAGAGATTCAGTAGTCAGGAGGGTGGGATACAAGTTGTTTTTCTTTTTTTCCCCTCCCTCTTCTTTTAAAAAAGCTTCCCTGATACTAGGATACACAGCCAGGTTTGGGAACCGCAGTCTTTGTACTGCTCCCCAGTGAAGCCTGTATCATTATTGATCTTCACTTTGTACTTCCTTTATTATTTAGGACATTCAGAGCATGTGTGTGTGTGCGCTTGTGTGTGTCCACATATATGCCACATACACACATATACACACGTATGCCACACACACCTTGACCTATCATTTATTATACACTTCTAAACTGGTAACAATTGTATACTGATAGCTTAATGGTAAGCACAGACATAGTTCTCATAAAACCTAAATTATTGGCAAATTTCAAACTTAAGACTAATACAATTTTATGATGAGAAAAAACATTTAGTGAAAGAAAGATCTACTTTAATTAAAAATATATATTTAAAATAAACGAACAAACAAAATTGAAGCAGACTCATAGACACAGAGAGTGGACTGGTGGTTGCCAGAGGGGAGGGGTGACTGGGTAAAAGAGGTGAGGGGATTCCTAAGTACAAATTAGTAGTTACAGATTAGTCACGGGGATGTAAAGTACAGCATAGGGAACACAGTCAATAATATATAATAACTGTATGATGCCAGGTGGGTACTGGAAATATCTGGGGGGACACTCTGTAAAGTATATGACTGTCTAACCACTGTGCTGTACACCTGAAACAAATACAAGATAATGTTGGAAGTAAACTAATTGAAAATTATGTATATATGTATATATATTTATTTTAAAGAAGTACAAATTGCTAGTTATAAAAATAGTTACAGGGATGTAAAATACAGCACAGGAATTATAGTCAATAATATTGTAATTAAAGACATATGGTGTCAGATGGGTACTAGACTTAACAGGGTGATCATAAGTTAATAAATGTCTAATCACTATGTTGTACATCTAAAACTAATATAATATTGTATGTCAACAATAACTCAAAACTAATTTTTTTTAAAAAGAGAAAAACATAATGTTTGCTCATTATAGAAAATTCCAAAGAGACAGGAAATGTATAGAAGAAAATAAAATTTATTTATAATCTCAAGATTCAGAGTGAGCTTTTCTTTATATTTTGAAATATTTCCTTCCACTGTTTCCTCTATGTATGTATTTAAACATGTGAGGTACTGAGATCACACAAATTTAATTTTACAGCAGTTTTCTGCCATTACACTACATTTTGAATAATTTTCCATGTTTTTGAAAGTATTTTTAATGCCTTTTACATTCAATTTTTTAAAAATCATATGGTGGTCTGTAGTTTATTTAACCAATTTCCCAATAATTACCCACACACGCTTGCATATGCACACACACACACACACACACACAATGACAAGCAAGCTAAATGTTAATGCTGCATTAAAAACCTTTATAAATGCATTTTTCATTTTATTTGGCTAATGACCTTAGAATAGATGCTTGGAGTTAGAATTACTAAATTTAAAAGGTTGCACCATTTTGTACTTTAACTATTTACCCACCAGCATTAAGTATTAGTATTTTTAGATTAAAATTTTTTTTTTCAATTATAGTTGACATGCAATATTATATTGATTTCTAGTGTACAACATAGTGAACAGACAGTTATGTAACTTATGAAGTGATCACCCTAGTAAGTCTAGTACCCATCTGACATCACACATAGTTATTATAATGTTACTCACTATATTCCCTANGCACATAGTTATAATGTTACTCACTATATTCCCTATGCTGTACTTTACATCCCTGTGCNACACATAGTTATTATAATGTTACTCACTATATTCCCTATGCTGTACTTTACATCCCTGTGCCTTTTTATAACTAGCAATTTGTACTTTTTAACCCTTTCACTATTTTTACCAAAGTATTAGTATTTTTGAAACTACTGATTTAAGGTGAGAATGGATTTCATTATTTTTTTACCTACCTAATTTACTTTCATACATAGACAAAACTGAAATGTATTTGTAATACTTAATTTCACCTCCTCTGAACTTTAACTTTGGTATTTTGCTCTTGTTTTTTGCAACAATATTTATGCTCCCCTGTATCTGCAATACCCACTTCTTTCTAATTATCATCCCAACCTGTGGTCAGGTAACCAGTATGGTTTGTGTTTCACTTGGATCTTTGTTTCATTTTCAAAAAAATGGAAGAATTGAAAGTTTTATGCGGGGCTTTATCCACTGGCCTATGGAAAAATGTCAAGTTCATTGTATTTTTTTACTTTTTGTCCGTTAAAATAATAAGATAAAGGTTTTTTTTAAAAAAGCATAAAGACAAAAAAAAAAAGAGAGAGAGAGAGAGGGAGAACACACTAGTTGCTCTCCAACCAGACTGCCAGCATCTCCTAATTCCTCCTTTCCATAACATCCTGGCCTTAGCATAAGGGCCTGAGAATTACTGTGATTCTTATATTAAATTTTATATTCCTAGTTAAGGTCTAATATGCTAATTGATATATATCAAATGAGATTGTTTGATTGAGGTTAAATGTAGCTATAACAGAAGCACATGTAGATGGAACCCAGCATGATTTGATGTGCCAGGGACTCTACTAGATATTTTCCTTGCCACCTGCTGTTTAATCTTCAGTTACTATTATTACACATATTATTATTGCTTTGAATTTAAAAATCATACAGCTAATTAGTGGAAAGGGTAGAGTTCAAGCTCAGGTTAATCTGACTCCAGTTCTTTTCAGGGGCAAAACCGTATCAAATTACTGGCTCCAGTGCTCCTGCCACACTTACCCATCCCCTCAACCCCCACTATTCCCAAGTTATAAACTGAACAGAACAACACCATAAATATTTCAGAGTGGCTTGTAGAATGATTTTTATTACTCTATAGTAGATATTCATACATGAAATATTTAAAGAAAAGGGAATAAAGACATTGCCCCAAAGTCTGGCAGTTAAGTCTAGCTCCCTAGACACAGAAATTCTAAGGATGATGGCTTGTAAATTTTATTTGATCTAATAAAAGTTGCTAATTTTGTGTCACATTTGGTGTTAAAAATTTTTGTCTTTTCACTGTGCATTTTTCTTTAAAGCTACACCATTTCCAAACAGCTTCAAGTGTTTTACCTGTGAAAATGCAGGAGATAATTATAACTGCAATCGATGGGCAGAAGACAAATGGTGTCCACCAAGTAAGTGTGCTGGGTTTGGAAGACTCCTTTGGGATCACACCTCGTCGAGGTGTCTCTGGACAAACCAACAAGCTGGTGATGTTCTATAGAAATCAGATATTTCTTTTAAGAGACCATCCTGACATCAGACTACTCTGAGAATACTTGGAAACTGATGGTGTAGCCTCAATTTGTAGTTGTGTGTTTCCTGAGGAAGGATTTCTTAAATAGTATTTACCTGGGAGAAAAAATAGACCACAGTGTTGACCAAGGCATTCTAAGAATTTCAGAAATGCTTGATGATATCTCCAGAAAAGTCATACTTACTGGCTAAAGCAAAAGAAAAGTTTTGTACTCTTGAGATACATTGATGCTTGGGAAACTCTTTCATTCATTTGACAAACATTAGAGTATATTTTTAGTTTGTTTAGTTCACTGATATATCCCTAGTTTTATCCAGTGCCTTGCCCATATTAGGCACTCAGTAAATATTTGTTGACAGAATAAATGGATGCCTTTGGTTAGGTAGTCCAGGAAATCTCCTCTGAGGAATGTACATTTGAAAGAAGACCTGAATGACCAAGCCAGCCACGTGGAGATATGTAGGAATAGCGTGGTAATAAGGGGGAACAGCAAATGCAAGGGCTACCAGAGGAAAGATTTAGCCTCTGCAGTGAACAGGGAGAAGGCTGGCCAGTGAAGCTTAGTGGGAGATGGGGAGAGAATGCCATGGAGGTAAGGACCAGACATGCAGGACCTTCTTTTTCTGATAAAAAGTTTGAATTTTATTGTAAATGTCATGGGAAGCCTGTTGGGGGTTTTAAACTATGGAATATAAATGCTAGTTGTGTTCTAAAATATTGCTCTTTGATATGTGGAGAAAGGATGGTTGGGGATAAGAGTAGAAGGGGACACCAAGTAGGGTCTTTTATTATCTTCTGGCAGAGATGGTGACTTGAACTGAGGTGGTGGCTTGGAGGGGGAGTGAAGTTGAATGACTTGGTATCTACTAATATGGAGGTAAAGCAGACAGGATGTCTGATGGATGATTTGGAATCCAGGAAATACAGCTAGAAGGAGATGAGACTTCGGATTTTAGAAGTACCATTTTTTAGGGTTTCAGATGTAAAAGACCAAGAAAAACAAACAAGCATGCTCTTCCAGAGTTAGAGATTACTAGTTTTTGTCTACTCTTCCCTTGACTCTTTTGGAAATTTTTGTATCACATTATATGTAGCGGTGAAATAGCCTTACCTCCAGATAAAGCTAGTGTGTGGAGCCAATACAGAGTACACACTAAAGACCTTTACTGGGCTTGAGAATCTTATGCCATAAATTAGTACAGTGGTTGTGACATCTACTCGGACAGCATTTTTCATTATTTCTTTTCAAGAATAATTAATTACCAAAATAATTTTTCTTGTGGTTCTTTTACATTGCTGTAGAACAATTAACCTTAAATTGTGTGTGTGCTTGCGAGTGCATGCACACACATGAGTGTACACGTTTGGGGACTAGTTTCCACATTTTTTATAGAAATTTATCTCAATTATTACAAAGTTTTTGAGGATGGCTGATGCCTCTCTTTGCTACCTTATTTCACAGAGCGTTATTATTTTTTAACTATTTGCTTTAAATTCTCCTGAAAACTGGGCGGTACGGGTTGGAACAGTAATAAATTGGGACATTGATGTCCATCCCCTTGTGCCTTAACTCATTGGAAAATGTTTTTCTTTATTCTTTTGAATGGTACCTAGACAGTTCCTACTAGGTCTGTGTATAATGTTCCAATTTGTCATTAATTAATCAAAGCCAGCTTAATAGGACCATGCACGGGTATTTCTGGGCTTTAGAATTTTATCTGTTGAAACATGTGAACAAAAGGGGAAAGCTGTCGCTTTCCACCACCAAGGATCCATCAGCGATGGAAGGGGGAAGACAGTCAGCTCTCGACCTCCCCCTGGGTGGGAGCCTGAGAGCGACATGGGCTGACATGCCTGCCAGCACATTGACTGTGCGCCCGTCAAGCCCCCAGCATACTAACAGCCTGCAATTCTCACTGAGGGTATAATCTCTCATTTTCAGTTTGCCATTATTTAGGGAAGCCATTGCCAACCATTTCTTGGGGCCCACAGGCCTGCAGCTATTGTTCTTTGTCCTTTCAGGTTTCCTTTCCACCTCACAGCTTTATTTCTGTGGTCTGTTAGTGTTGTTAGAAGAGGTTCTCTGTGGAACAGGGTATGACAAGAATGACATTTCTTATTTTATTTCCTCTGGCTTTTATTCTGACTTTCTAGGGCTGCTTTAGCATGTGTGACACTTTAAATGAACACATGCAGCTACCAGTTTTCAATTCTTCTTTGTTTGGAGTAGAGTTTCAATGTCTTGCCAAAGCATGTGGTGGTTCCCTTTCCTCCTGATGCCAGAAGCCAGCTACTCTTGGAGGGCATGTTACAGCACCATCTAGTTGAATATTAAGTATACTGAGAGGCAGAATAGTAGCTGCTTAAGAGCACAAACCTTGGAAAACTGCCTCAGTTAAAATCCTACCTCCCACCACTTTCTACCTGTGTGACTGTGGACAAGAAACTGTGCTTCAGGTTGTTGTTTTCTTTAAATCTGTAATATGAGGATATTAATATGCCTTATCTTAAGAATTATTATAAGGATTGAATAATTGAATACATGTAAGAAGAGTACCTGGCTGGTGGTGCCCATTTAATATGTGTGTACAATTGTTATTATTAGTTAAATCTTACAACAATGCTGTCAAAATGCCAAGGCACTTATTATCATAATTTTACTAAAAAGAAAATTAACCTAAAGCAATGTACATATTCAGTGCAATCCATATCAAAATTCCAATGGCATTTTCACAGAAATAGAACCAAAAAGTCTTCACATTTATGTGGAACCACAAAAGACCCCAAGTAGCCAAAACAATTCTGAGAACAAAGAACAAAGCCAGAGGTATCAAACTCCCTGATTGCAAACTGTACTAGAAATCTGTAGTAATCAAAACAGTGTAGTATTGACAGAAAAACGGACATACGGACCAACGGAACAGAATTGAGAGCCTAGAAATAAACCCTTCCATATGTGGGCAAATAATTTATGATGGAGACAAGGATATACAATGGAGAATGCAAAGTTTCTTCAATGAACAGTTGGGGAGACTGGACAGGATTTGCAAAAGAATGAAACTAGACCATGTCTTACACCAAATACAAAAGTGAACTCAAACTGGATTAAAGATTTGAATGTAAGACATGAGACAATAAAATCTATAGAAGAAAAACTAAGCTTCTGGACATTGGTCTTACTGGTGTTTTTGCCTATTTGACTCCAAAGGCAGGAGTAAAAAAGCAAAAATAAATGAATGGGACTATATCAAATTAAAAAGCTTTTGCACAGCGTAGGAAACCATCAGCAAAACAAAAAGGCAACCAACCAGATGGGAGAAGATATTTGCAAATGATACTTCCTATAAGGGATTAATATTCAAAATATAGAAAGAACTCAAACAACAACCAAAAACAATCCAATTTTAAAATGGGCAGAGGACCTGGACAAACACTTCTCCCAAGAAGACATATAAATGGCCAACAGATATGTGGAAAGATGCTCAGCTTCACTAGCTGTTAGGGAAATGCAAATCAAAACTACAATGAGGTACCACCTCATGCCTGTCAGAATGGCTGTTATCAACAAGACAGGTAATAACAAGTATCCTAGAGGCAGTAAAGAAAAAGGAGCCCTCATTTACTGCTGGAGGGAATGTAAACTGGTACAGCCACTGTGGAAAACACTATGGGAGCTCCTCAAAAAACTAAGACTAGAGCTACCACATGAGCCATCAGTTCCTCTTTTGGGTATTTATCTGAAGAATATGGAAACACTAATTTGTAAAGATATAGTTAAAGCTATAAGGATAACTCCATGTAGAAATGAATTAGCTAGAAAGAGGGGGAAGGGGACAGAGAAAGAAGCAGTTAAAGAAGAGAGAAATAGAAATACTTTGAATAAGGAAGGTGGTCTTGACGTGCACTTTGAAGCACCTGCCTTTCATTCCTCATGGCCTATTAATGTGTCAAATGTTGAATAATGCAACAAGAAGGGTTCTGATCCACTGCATTTTGAATTCACGTTTTTCATTTTATTTTAGAGTCATAGGACATGTGCCTCAGAGAGAGAGAGAGAGATGAGGCAGAGACAGAGATACTGACACTTTCATATGAAATGGGCAAACCTGTGGTTTTGATGAAAAGCTTGTCCAATTTTTTCTTAGCTTCAGCCAGCTCCAAAGGATAGGTGCCTGTTTCTATTCATTTTCAAAATACATGTGTGCTTCATAAGTGAATGCTTTTAAAAAAATACCACCTAAAAACTCCAGAGTTCTCTGTCATTGTATTTTTTGTCTAGAAACCTAAGGGTCATCCTGAATGTTAGTCATTTCTGGATTGTTGAATTTCTCCTTTGCAATGTGCAAAATGAAGTTGCCTTTTCTTGTCTTCCTGCCTAGATACCCAGTACTGTTTGACAGTTCATCACTTCACCAGTCATGGAAGAAGTACATCCATCACCAAAAAGTGTGCCTCCAGAAGTGAATGCCATTCTGTTGGCTGCCAGCACAGCCGAGATTCTGAACATACAGTAAGGAGAGTGTGTGTGTGTGTGTGTGTGTGTGTGTGTGTGTGTGTGTGTGTGTGTGTAAGTTGCTGTCCTAAGGTTTCTTGCTAGTGATGGTTAGTGATATGTCCTGGAGGTGCAGGAAGGATAAGTAATATGTTGAACATGTTTATATTGGGAGAAAAGACTCCTTTACAGTGATGCAATGGAGGCCAAAGAGAAGTTGAAGACTTTCTGTTCTTCAACAAAACATAATAGTACTAGAAGCGAATGATAGTTCCCAGACTCCAGGGCTAGACCCTAGACCTTGGACTTGGGATGAATTATCCAAAGTCAGGTCCGGAAGCTCAAGAATAAACCATCCATGAGAGAATGACACGTTCTACAAAGGTCACCTATTTTGTTTATGGCCAGAAATTCCAAGAACCCTGCCCAGGGAAGCTGGCAGGTGGAAAGAGGAAAACGGTGGCACCTTTTACTAAGGAAACCTCGCCTACTACCTCTGCTTAGATGAGGAAGGGAGAGTCTGAAAGATTAACCTCAGTTAAATATGATGAACTAGAGATACATTTTAGAGCAATAGAACTCTCTGATTTTCTCATTCTATCATTCTAGGTGAGCATTTTACTCTTTTATGTCTGGAATCCTGAAATGTTTGAGAAAAAATTCACTTGAGAGTATGTTAATTTCACGAGGGTTTAGAGCTTGTTTTAGCCTCTGTGTACAGAAAGTGGTTCTGACACAGGGGCTTCTAGCTCCAGCTGCATGGGAGAATCTCCTGGGGAGCTTTTATAAGCCGTGGTGGTGGTGGTAGGGGGCATCCCAGACCAACTGAAACAGAACCTCAGGGTGGGGTCCCAGGCACCAGGATCTTTTTTTTTTTTTTTTTAAGTTCCCCAAGGAGATTCTGATGTGCAGCCTAGGTTAAAAACCACTCATAAAGATACTTAAGAGTGACTGCCTTTATCTTCCCTAGCCATCCTGGAAGCCTCAATGAATGGCTAGGGTTATCAGGGTGAGGCATTTTACCAGGTATTATGGCAGGTGATGGCTTCCCCTGCAAACACCTGTGCTACCAGGGAGCAAGCATTTTTCATCACTCAGCATCCATAATTAGCAAGCCATTGCTGTTGTAATGATAGTAATCAGGTGTTAGTATAGACAATAGAGAGTCATTATTATCCCCTAACAAGTTGTACTGAGGAAGAAAATCAATGAGCAGTCCATGATGTTCCTAGCTTTTATTTTTGTCTCAGTGTTTTTCCATACAAGCCTTTAGAAGATTTGTTGACTCAATCAAACAAGCCTCATTCAGTTTCCCTTCCTCTTCTTTCCTTTACTTATGCTTGGGCTGATATAGATAAATCACAGTTAAAAAGGAGATTCTCCAGATAGTGCTTGCTTTCAGGTCAGTGGAGGGAAGGCTACCCAAGGGCCTGGGTGACTCATAGGCTGGATAACACCCTTTAATTCTGGCTGTCCTCAGATAATGCTCAAGAAGCCTTTGTTTTGTTTTGTTTAGTTTGTTTCGCCCTCCCCTCTTTTTCTGACTATTCGTTCTCTTTCCCCTCCCCCCTTCCTTTTGTAACAGGAGTGCAGGTCTTGCTGCGAAGGAATGATCTGCAACGTGGAATTACCCACCAACCACACGAATGCGGTCTTCGCTGTAGTGCACGCCCAGAGAACGTCTGGGAGCAGCGCCCGCACGCTCTGCCTGCCCCTGCTTGCCTGGGTCTCCTTGCTGCCGTGGATCTGATGCCACCATTCTGAGGCGAGGCAGAGACCAGCCCTCTTTAGCACGGACTAAAAACTGTGTAAACAGTGAACTGAGCGAACCCTGGTCTTGCAGTTGGTGAAGAGTACACGTTGGACTCCAAAGCAGAAGACAGTTGTTTGCATCACTAAAATGCTCCTGCCTGAGGCCCTGGGCTTGAGGAAGGGAATTTGGCCCAGAATGAGGGCATTAGCTGTCTTCCAGGCTTCCTGGTCAGAGAGGCTGCATTTTGTTACTTTTGCAGGGACGATCCTGCCAGCATCCACAACGGGCAGCTTGTAGTAGCCTATATTGTCCCAGCCAGACCAGGCCTTTAGCTGAAAGGACTCCTTGACCTCATTGACCCCCTTCAGAGGCTGCTGGGTCAGATCCTCTCTTTCTGTGATTAGCTCACAGTGTTTCTAGGAAGTCTAACCCTTCCCCCGATGAGAAAGCAATTTCCCTGACAATGTGTAGTCCATGGGAAAGGCAAGTATAGGAGAAAAACTCCTACTTGAACTACTATGAAACCCATTTGCTAATTGTGGGGGAGGGGGGAAATAAAGCTTTTAAATTATACAGTGTAAAATGCATGCTGTGTGTTTCTTGACTAATAGGAAGATCTCTGATTTACCTGTGTCATAAAGGAGGTCACTGAAGTTATGTTTTCCAGGCACCCTGGGGGTATTTTCTGGCCGAAAGTGTAAAAGTTCATGCCAAAGAGACTTAGTATTTTCTTTTTGGGGGAGTATACTTCTTAGGATGCAAAATGCAAAATTCGTGAATTAAGAATGTCAGGAAACCTCCCCGATCAAGGAGGATGATACCTTATCACATGATGAACCCTCAGGAATAGCAGATTAAAGTTAGAGAACCTGGCAGGACCGCCCCTCTTCCTCACACAGTCAACTTCCCTCTGAATGGCAGGCCACCAAGAGAACCTTTCTAAAGACATCCTAAAAACATTTTGTCCCCTTATCTCCTTCTCTTTCTATATCTGTCTCAGAATTTCAAAAGAACACCTTCTTTTTATTCCCTTTATCCTGATTTCCTGCCTTTACACTTTGGGGTGATCTTTAAACACTGCCCTTCTATGTATAGTGATTACCTAATGGAGTCTTTGTTTTGTTGTTGTTTTAAAAATACTTATTTTTAATTTTTTTGTAATTCATAAAAATGAACAGTATTTAAAGAAGACAGCGTTGTCACATATGCTGCTTTTGGGGTATTCTGAGATGAAAATGCCAATTCTTTCATTAATATGCTTACTTTTTACTTCTTTTTTAAAAGATTTTTTTTAAAATGTATTTTTATCATTGATAGTATTACAGATGTCCCCCTTTTTCCCCTCTTTGCCTGCCTCCACCTGGTCCCACCCCAGGCCTTCACTGCACTATTGTCTGTGTCCATGGGCTATGCATACACACATATAACTTGTTTGGTTAGTCTCTTCCCACCCCTTCCCCCTTCTCTCTGAGGTCTGTCAGTCTGTTCCATGCCCACATGTCTCTGGACCCATTTTATTTGTCACTTTATTTTGTTCATTAGATTCCACATATAAGTGAGATGTGATATTTGTCTTTCTCTGCCTGGCTTATTTCACTTAGGGTAATACTCTCCAGGTCCCTCCATACTGTCACAAAGGGTAAGATATCCTTTTTCACAGCTGCGTAGTATTCCACAGTGTAAATGTACCACAGCTTTTTTATCCACTCATCTACTGATGAGCACTTGGGCTGTTTATAGGTCTTAGCTATTGTAAATAATGCTACTATAAGCATAAGGGTTGTTTGTTTTTTAATTGAGTGTTCACTATTAGGACACTGAGTGCTCCATAGAATCCATTAATGATGCTATCCTTGCTGTGCACTCACCTACAATGGAGGTTGGCAAGTTAGGACCCAAGGGCCAAATATGTCTCACTGTTCTTAATCTGCTAGACTGCTGTAACAAATATACTATTGATTGAATGGCTGAAACAAAAACATTTAATTCTCACAGTTCTGGGAGCTAGGAAGTCCAAGATCAAGGTGCTGGCAGATTGGTATCTGGTGAGGGCCCTCATCCTGGTTTGCAGAACACCATCTATTCATATCCTCACAGGGCAGAGAGCAGGAAGAGAGCTCCATCCCCTTCATGAGGGCTCTATATTCATGACCTAATTCTCTCTCAAAGGTCCTATATCCAAATACAATGATATTAGGAATTTAGGCTTCAGCACAAGAATTGGAGTCAGGGGGCACAAACATTTAGTCCATAGAACCAGCTATTTTTGTGAACAAAGTTTTATTGGAACACAGCCACGTCTTTTCGTTTACATCTTGTCTACAGCTGTTTTCATGCTACAACAGGAAGGATGAGTAGATAGATGCAGCGGAGCGTGCATGGCTACAGAGTCTAAAAGATTTACTGCCTTGTCCTTTGCAGGAAAAATGCTGACCTCTAACCTGTGAAATGGTCCAAGCGTGTGGGGAGAACGCTGCTTGCTTTGCAGACACTGCTGCTCGTGGTGGTTACTCCGCCTGGGAAGGGTTTGCCAGATCACGTCCCTTATTTTCTCCGTCTTTTGCATCAGTGGATCCTCCTCTGTTTTGTTCGTTCCACTCATTTGATTCTATCTCTTGGTCGCTCTGTGCTGCTGGCAGGGGCTGGGCTGTGTGTTGCTCCTCTGACGCTGGGAGCGCCTGAGCGTGGGCCCTCGGCTTCCAGTGAAACGCGGAGCCGGCGACATCGCTACCTCCCTGCCTCTGGTTGAGCCTGACTCACCTGGAAGCACCGTTTGAAGCCCGATAGAGATTTATCCCCCCTTTCACTCAGCACCTTGTAGTAGTTGAGTCTCCGTAGCTGTGCTTGTTTGAAATTAATTATGGATGGCTTCACTTGGAGCAGTTTAATAGCATCTTTGCTGTCTTTTTACTCCTCAGGGTGTCTTTTGACTGTGTAATTGACGAATCGTCTGGTAAAAACCATTAGCAGACATTTTCTTTCTGGTTTTGTTTCTGCCGTCTAGATTAATGAATTTCCCTTTGTGTGTGTGTTTTCTTTCCTGAGGAAACATCTTAATTTTCTCTTCTTCATCCGCATGGGCTTCACTCCTCACCGCCACGCCCGTAAGCATTTGAACTAGGGCTGTGTTGAGGGACATTATGAAAGGGGATGCGCAGAGGAAAGGAACTCCTGGCAAAGATAATCTAGTAAGTAGAGGTGCCAGATTTCCAAATAAAGACATGGAACAAGCCACTGAATCTGAATTTTAGAGAAACAACAAATACTTTTTTCGTAGAATTTTTTTGTGAACTCGTAAGTCTGGCTAGTCTAAGGCAATGCTTTCAAGTCTTTGTAATAAATCAGAATCTTCTGCATAACTTCAGAACAATAAAATTCCCAGGGCATCCTGGGGATGTTGATTCAGTAGATCTGGGGTGAAGTGCAAGCCTAACCTCAATAATTGAATGTTAAAACAACAACTCTCAGGTGATTGTGATGTTCAGCCAGGTGTGTTACCCTGCTCCTAAGAGGCTACTCCTGCCTCTGAAGCCCAGTCCTTGGCCACATAACAGAAATGCTATTGATAATAAACATGTGCACAAGTAACCTGGGTTGCAGCCTGTGGTTCTCAAAGTATGGCCCAGACCAGCAGGATCAGTGTTACCTAAAAACTTGTTAGAAATGCGAATTCTCCATTTCAGACATTGAATCAGAAACTCTGGGGGTTCAATCTGTAGTTTACTAAGTAAGGCCTCCAGGTGCTTCTGATGCACAGGCAAGCTCAAGGACCACTGGGCCACTGGAACAGAGCCATGCTTCCCAGTGTCTTTGGTAAATGGGTCCCTGGTGGCTGCATGAGAATCACTCAGGGAGCTTTTAAGAAAATAAAGAAGAAAAGAAAAAGAAAAAAAGAGAAAGAGAAAGAAAAGTAAAGAAAAAAAGAAAATGGAACTCCAGAGAGTTAGATTTGTTATGTTTGAGTTGTCAGAAAATCTGCATTTAAAATATATATATATATCTTTATTGATTTCAGAGAGAGGAAGGGAGAGGGAGAGAGAAACATCAGTGATGAAAGAGTCATTGATCGGCTGCCTCCTGCACACCCCCAGCTGAGGACTGAGCTGGCAACTTGGGCACGTGCCCTGACCAGGAATCGAACCATGATCTCCTGGATTCCTAGGTTGATGCTCAACTGCTGGGCCACGCCCAGCCAGGCAGAAAATCTGCATTTTTAACAAACTCCTCAATTAATTCTGATACTTAGCCAATTTGGGAGCCATTAAACCTAGAGTAAGAGACAGGCGTAATGTTGGTGACCAGAAGGCCCAGATGCCAACACCTGATGTTTGAGCTCTAATATGAACATCCTATGCATTATAAGTTGACTCTTTGTGGTGTTGCCAATGTAATTTACAAAAGATAAATCTAGTCATTAGAGTCTGTTACATGATTTTTTTTTAGACCATTGCACAGGGACCTGGGATGGCCAAGTACCCCAGGCCTCAGACCAATTTAATTTGCCTCTAGTGAGCAAGAAATGAAAACTACTTTGTCGTCCAAATGTCCAGTGAAAACTGGGTAGTGGGGGCAGGAGAGGAGGGGAATTTGTGGATTTGTTGTTATAAAAAGACAAGGGGATTAGCTATGAATATGAGGAGGGTCTGAGGAATTGACCGTCCAAGGACCATTTTGAATAGATCTGCATTCCAGAATAAACTTTGAATTCCCATCCATCAATTATTTTCTAAACAAACAAATGAAAAAATGGTACCAAAAACATTTTCCCCCCAGCATATATAAACTCTCCTTAAACCTAGCTCAGGGAAGTTAGCCATCAGCAATTACAGGTATTTTCCATACAACCTGCATTCTGTCATGTCAGTCACTGTAAAACGTATTTCATAAGAAGAGGGAAGGTTGGTTTCACTTTCTCCCTGGGAAAGAACTTATAAAGCCCTGCAAAGCATGAAATGAGCAATAGGAACTGGTCTGGACTTGGGAGGTGAGGAGTGGAATCGGAAAAATATATTTCACATTTGTGAAATTACTAACTAGTACACACAATTTTGTGATCATACTAGTAGATTGCCATTTTATAAAACCTTGCTCTGACCTTTGGGGTTTGGATGTTTTATTTTTGACTGAGACCCTGTGATTTGTGGAGGGTTCCATTGTGATGCTGGGTGTGCCTGGGTACAGATTAGGCCAGAAGACAAAGGCTGGTAGTGGACGCACACTGGAGAATGCTGTAGAAATGAAAGCAAATGGCTGTGAGAATTTGAGTCTGCCTTTAGGCATAGCTCCACTACTGTGAGCCCAAAACATCTCTCTGTCACACTTTCCTCTTTTCCCTTCTCCTTCATAATTCTGCCTTTTTCCCAGCCCCACTCCCTCATTGCCTTGGCCTCTGAGCTGGTTTTGGAGTAATCCAGATTGGGAGATAAGGGATTAGGCTGTGAAAAATAGGGCTTTCAAAGCCTGATCCGAATTTGAAGTTTTAACAAGCATCTGATCACAATACTGGTGATTCTGATACTGGTAGTCTTGGGGCATCATTTTAGAAACTGTGAAGCAGGGCCTCAGCATGAGGCTGGAGATGCT